CCGCGGAGCCCGCTGTCAGGGCCTGGCTGTGCCGCCGGCTGCTCCTGCTCCCGCCTGCCCGCTGCCTCCACCTTTGTCTGGTTGGTTTGGTTCCGGTTTGGGATTTGGATTTCGTTTTCTGAGACAGGCCTCTCGCTGTGTAGTTCAGGCTGCCTTGAACTTGCAAGCTCTCCTGCCTCAGCCTCCGGAATTCTGCCGGCTGCCTCCGGGCCCATTTTGGAGAAACGGCTTTAGGAAAGGCCTTCCCTGACGGCCCGCACCCCAGTCAGAGCCAGCCGCCCCCAGGGCGAGCCCCCCCGCATTCGTGGCCGTAGAGGTGCTCGGACCTGGGGCTCCTCCTACCGTTCCCAGGGCTCCGCCTCCTCTCGGATGCCCCTCGCCCTGTGTCTCCGGGTGGACATATTCATTCGACAAACACTGCTCAGCACCTGCTGTGTGCCAGGTGTGAAAGACGAGTCATCCGATAAAACGTGTGACGTCGTTTTTCCATTAGCTGCGTGGACAAAGCGAAAGGAGATGGGAAATCGACGTTAGTGTCTACTCCCTCTACTCCGGAATATCCAGATCGGATGGTTTCAACCCGTGGTTGATATTAAAAAGAGCTCTTTTTCCATACAAAGGCTTCCAGGGGTGGCGTGTACTGTGTATGGAGGGCTTTTCCACTGGAGCAGGATCAGTCTTTCTGCAGCTGCTGGCTTTCAGGCTGCTGTGACAATAAATGGACATAATACATGGCAGGTGGCAGTCAGAAGAAAGGGAGAGCGAGTGAGGTCCCTAAGGAGTGACACCTACACTGCGTGTGGCAAGGGGGAGCCAGGAAGCTGCCTGCAGAAGCGCACTTGGGTGCAGGGCCTGGCAGGTGCAAAGGGCCCGTGGCAGAAATGTGCAGAAGCCAGCAAGGAGCAATGGGTTGGGGTGAAAAGCGGCCCAAAGGTGAGTGACCCCAGCTTCCCTGCTTGTTTGGGCCAGCTGACAGCTCCTCCACCTGCACCTTGTCGTTGCCTTGTGTCCTGTTGCTTTAGAGGCTGTGACCCAGCCTGCAGGTTTCCCGGGAGGACCCGTTAGGGCTCAGCTCCAGCCACACACTTCCACCTTCCCAGGCTTCACGGGCAGAGGGCTCTTGGCCGTCTGCTTTTCAACTCAGATGTCTTTTTTAAGCATTGCTGGAACCAGAGAGGTCCACACCCTGGTGATCTCAGCTACCTGGGAGGCTAGGGCAGGAGGATTTCGAGTCCCAGGCCAGCCTGAACAATTTAGCAAGACCTTACCTCAATATAAAATGTTTGTAAAAGGTTGGGGATGTAGCTCCGTGGTACAGCACTTGCCCAGTGTTCAATCCCGAATACCACAAAAAACAACAGTAATAACGCTCCAGTAACGTATTGAAACATACAGCATTGCTTCTGCTCCTTTATAATACAATTGTAGCTTTTTTGCTGTTGTTATTGTTTTGTTTTGTTTTGATCTTTTGGGACAGAGTTTCAATCTACTTCTGGCTGGCCTAGCGCAGGATGGCCTTGAACTCTCGGCGATCCTCCTGCCTCAGCCTCCCCAGTGCTGGGGTCACAGCGTGCGGCACCAAGCCCCGCGTCATATTGGTCCTTGAAAGCGCTCGTGCAGGCGCCCCATATTAAATCCCACTTTAGACTCGCAGAGTAGGGAGGTACTTAGCAGGAACACCTCTGCCCAGGGTTCCTCGGAGGCCAGCTAGTTAAGTGAGGCGCGGCTGCCCCCTGGCGGGTGAAGCGGCAACGGCAGGGGCTACCGGGAAGGAGTCCGCAGACGCAGGGTCCAGGCCCTTCTGGGGCC